GCCACCTCACACCTCACCTCGCCACCCGCTCCCCCCAGTCCCCCCAATCCCTCCCATCCCAGGGCACACACCTCCTGGCGGGGCGGGCGCGCATCTGCGCCTCGTTCTCAAGGCCGATCTTGTCGTTGAGCCCCAGCTTGAGGTCCGGCATGCCCGATAAGAAGCACTTCATCAGCACCTTGCCGGTCACATCACACCGCAGTATGGTGCCTGCGGGGGGAGAGGGGGGGGGGGTTGGGGGTGGGAGAGAAATGGGGGGAGGAAGAGAGGGGGAGAGTGTTAAGAGGGGAAAACGGGAAGAGGAAAGGGGAAAGGGGAGAAGGGGAGGGGGAGGGAAGAGGGGCGGAGGAAGGGGGTGGGTCGTTGCTGTGCTGAATGCAGAGCACAAGGCGAGTCCGAAAAAAAATACAATAACAGCTGCAGAAGGAGGGGGGGGAGAAGAGGAACAGGCATGGGTTGCAAGAAGGAGATGCAGCCGTTTTGAACGATATTGAGATTCTCAAAAACGAGGAGGAGGGGCAGGAGGAGAAGGAGGAGGAGGAGGAGACGAGGAACAAGCACGGGTTGCAGGGAGGAGAGGAGGCAGGCGCACCTTTTTGTGACATGAGGAGGTTGACACTCTCCACAATATCCAAAAAGACCTGTCACGGGGGAGGAGAAGAGAACGGGCAGAGACACAAGCAGACAGACAGACAGGCAGACACACACGTCCCCCCCAACCCCACGCCCACTTCCCCCCCAACACATTCCCCCACAAGCATGCGTGCAGACGAGTCATAAAAGGGCACGCAGGGTTGGGACTAGGGCATTGGGCGGAGTGCTACGACGGGGATATTGGATATGGGATATGGGAGGACGACACAGCACGGGAAGGGAATGGCAGGCGGAACCAAGCAGGGATATTGGAGAGACGTGGGATGTCCCACACGAAGGAAGAGAGCCGAATGCATGGACAGGGAGAGGGGAACAGGGACGACGGGGGAGGAGAGGACCAGTAGAAAATAAAGGGGAGACGAGGAAGAGGTGGGAGGAGGGCATGAGGGATGGAGAAAGGAGGAAGAGCGGGGAGAGGGATGGGGGGGGGAAGGTGGAAGAAGAGTGGGCAAGGGACACTGAACGAGTTTTGAGACGTCTCAAAACGAGACGTCTCAAAACGAGTGGGCAAGGGACACTGAACGAGTTTTGAGACGTCTCAAAACGAGTGGGCAAGGGACACTGAACGAGTTTTGAGACGTCTCAAAACGAGTGGGCAAGGGACACTGAACGAGTTTTGAGACGTCTCAAAACGAGTGGGCAAGGGACACTGAACGAGTTTTGAGACGTCTCAAAACGAGTGGGCAAGGGACACTGAACGAGCAGCGACAGATTGGAGTGAAGCGAAGCGGAACGAGCAGGGAGAGGAGAATGAGGTGAGTGCACCTCGTTCTTCTTGTACACGAGCCCTTCTCTCCGCCACCCCACCGCGCCCGTGACTTGCAGCGTCGCATTGGCAGGCGGCCTCACCTCCTTCTCCTGCTCCACAGGGGAGAAAACGGGCACATGCGGGGAAGAGAGATGGAAGCATAGTGGAGGAATTTGAGCGTGAAAGAAAGGTGAAGAAAGGTGACAGAAGGGTGACAGGAGGGGGTTAAGTTTGACAGAAGGGTGACAGAAGGGTGACATGACAGAGTGGTGACAGAAGGGTGACAGAAGGGTGACGTGACAGAGTGGTGACAGAAGGGTGACAGAAGGGTGACAGAAGGGTGACAGAAGGGTGACAGAAGGGCGACAGAAGGGCGACAGAAGGGCGAACGAAGGGCGACAGGAGGGCGACAGAAGGGCGACAGAAGGGCGACAGAAGGGCGAAAGAAGATGCATGGGCTGCAAAGAAGTGACATGGGGGGTGGGAAGAGAGCCTGGCGCCGACCTTGGAGAAGGGCGACCTGACGCCCTCTTGTGTGATGTACAGCTTGACGATCTCCGGAGATAGATTCTGTGGGAACCCGAAGTCCATGATCTCTGTACGACAGTGAGGGATTGAGGCCACATGCCACAGCGCAAAGCAAAGATAGGTATTTGGGCGCACACACACCGCGAAACATGCATGCACGAACACGGGCGCGCACACACGCGCGCACACGCACACACAGGCACGACCGCCCCCACGAGCACACACAGGCGTGCGCGCCAACCACCCGCCCCCCCCCCCCCCCCCCCCCCCCCCCCCCCCCCCCCCCCCCTTCCACACACACACGCACATGCACACACACGAATAGGAAGCAGCGCGCACACACATATACAGATGGAAGCAACACGCTTGAGTGAGACACGGCTGGCTGAAGAGCACAGGGCTACGGACGATCGAGAAACACAGAGAGCCGTGAGCTCACATCACATGCACACACGAGTGGGATACTGAGGCCAAGGACACGAGGGAGGAGATAAGGTAGGGTGTGGGTAAATTATGGGAGAGGCAGGGGCGGTGGAGGGAATAAAGCAAGGGCGAGGGAGCAGAGGAGCAGTGAATAATACACACCTTGTGGGCTAGACTGGTACTACGCTGTCTGTCTGGGCATCTGAGCGTGTGAGCATGTAAGAGTCTGAGCGTCTGAGCGTGAGAGCATGTGAGGGACTGAGCGTGTGCGAGCGTGTGTGCAGCTGGCGTACCATCGAGCAGCTCGTAGATGAGCACGAAGTTGTTGCGGATGGAGTCCTCATCGAACGTGCCTCCGAAGTACGACTTGAACAGCGCCACGGCCTGCACGGGGCCAGGGGGACGGTACGCGGCGAACATACAGCCAGAGCAGCTCGCATTGGAGCAGTGAAGCAGGCACAACGGAACAAGGCCGGAAGTTTCGACTATGTAGAAAAATACCCCAGACGACAAATCACCAGTCCAGGTGACAAGAAAACACTCCAACCACCGCCTCTCACCATTCCCCCAGCCACTGCCTTTCGCTCCCCATCATCCCCGCACAACCCTCCCTCCCCCCCTCATCCCCATACGCGCACAAAATCACAAGTCACGCGCGAGGCGGGCGGCGGGCGCGCACGCACCTCGACGATGAACTTGAAGGCGAGCGCGGCGTTGGCGTTGCTGTTGACGACGATGACGATGTACACGTTGCTGATGCGCATGTACAGGAACGAGCAGTTGCCCATCTGCCTCACCGGACACGTGCCCAGGTCCTTGGTCTGCAGAATCTGCATCCGAAACGCGTCCACCATGTTGCCTCTGCACGCCCGCGCGCACGCGCGAGAGAGAAAGAAGGGAGATGGAGGGCGGAGAGGGGGGAGGCGGGGGGAGGGGAGAGATGAGGTAAGGAAGGCGAGAGGTAGATAAGGGAGCGGGGTAGAGAGGGAGGGAGCGAGAAGGGAAAGGAGGAGAGAGAGCAAGGCAAGAGATTGGCGTCATAAGGGAGTGACGAGCATCGGGGTAGGTGAACCGTTAAACACAGATCATCTCAAAGGGATCCTTATGATACCCGCTTATAATCACGAAGTGATGCTGACGTGGTTCAAGAAGGCACTTCAAGACAAGCACGCTGAAGAGGCGACACAAAAGCGGCGACAGCGAAGTGTGCGTTTGAGCCAGCTCGACAGATCTTGCATACATGCCGTTCTCCAGCTCTCGGAAATTAGGCCATAGAAAATGGTTACGACTGACTGATTAGCCTACGAATTTGCTAAAGGTGTACAAGAATTTTCTCCAGTATTAGAGACAGCGTTCGAAAAGCCATGAATTTCACAGATGCGCATGTCGCAGGTGAGAATCCTGGTTCCATGAGATTAGTTTGTACCCGATGCGACGCGAAAGCGACAAGGCACTCACCCGACGTCATCTCGGTAAAGCCGGTTGATGAGCACGTCCCCTCGCAAGTTTAGGAAATAGATCGCCGACGCCGCCACAGGCATGGTTCGCGGCGGACCACGGGCAGAGCCCGCTCGCCGGCTGTCTGGTTAATAATGCTCGTCGAGAGCTGAGCAAGCAAAAAGCCAACGGCTGATACAGAGGGCCTCGAGCCTAAATGGGGACCTTCGGATTCAGGGTGTGCTATTACCGATATCGTTATCATAAGGCTGCATCAGGAACACATCCGGCAAATCGATGAAAGCAAATAGGAGACGGATCTACGACCAGCAGGCTGATCCGTTTCTACAGAAGGGCTTGCGCTATTGCCGCGGGAGAGCGACAGTCTCTAGGATCGCAAGTCGGCACTAAAATGGCGAGTGCTCGGACTCTCGGAGATTTGCAGTCTAGGGATTGTTGGCCAACATGAGAACCAGATCGGACACAACCCAGGTAAAAATGGAAGAATGCTGGGAGCCAAGATTTCAATACAGTGCAGCGCGTTACAAGCACAAGACGCTGAAGAAACATATTTTGTACCGAACAATGACGCCTTGACGTGGAATATTCGAATATAGCTTTGTGGAAGCCGGAAGGGGAGCGGACGTGAGCAGAGCGGAGCGGACTGATAACACAGTGCGGGGAAAGACTGGGCGCGAGGAACAAGAATGCAGAGCTCTAGTTTTGGTTCGCGCTGCGCTGTTGGGGTCCTCTCCGCGTATCCGAGGTCGAGCTGAGGTCAGCTGAAGAATTTGGCGGGTTCTCTCACCCAGCTTGGCTCAGCAGAAATGGTCGCGGAAGTTTTCTGAGTTTTCGCGCGTGGAAGGAGAGCAGGGCGGAGAAAGTGCGCGCAGCCTAGTGGGTGACTAGGTGGCCCTGAATGCTTGCCCTCGGTTGCCACCAAATGTAGATAACGAGAGTGCGTGCATTTCCGTGGCATTGCTTCACCTGGAACCATGTACAGAACCTTTTTCCAAGATTATAACGTGCACCGCAGTTATCAATGTCGAAGAATTTTCACCCCCACCCCAGTCGACTCCTCGAGACCACGTCATCGCCACGTCAGCTTTGAGAGGATCCTGACGGGCGAGAATAGGGACTAGTGCACTCGCCATCAGCTTACTCCTCGACCTATAATTCATTCGTACGTGCGCTGAACGCGCGAACCAGAATGCGCGTGGTGTCGTGGAACATCAACGGGCTACCGACCACATTCAAGGAGGCCGGCAGCAAGTACGGCTCCGTCGCCAACTTCTTCTCAAACGTCCTCCGCGCGGACGTGCTCTGCCTGCAGGTACTCCTCACCATCCTCACCGCGTCGACGCTGCTAGCCCAGAAGTTCACGTGATGCCAATCCGTACCCACTCCCTTGCCTCTTTTCCATTCCTACCCTCCCCCCTCCCCCACCCCCAACCCCCTCCCGCCCCAACACCCTGTCCGCGATTCTCACCCCCCATCGCTCTACCTCCCTGTCCGCCAGGAGGCGAAGGTGGCGGAGGAGCGGGTGGAGCGGGCGTGGGCGCTGGTGGAGGGGTACGACTCGTACTGGGCGTTCAGCCGCGACAAGAAGGGGTACAGCGGTGAGCGCGTGCGCGCACACACACACAGGCCCCTTCCCTGGTCTTCATCACTAACTTTCCCTGGTGCTCACCTCCGCGCCGTGCTTCTTCCCTTGTTGTCTGCATGCCCGCCGTGACGACCCGTTGGTGCTGCATGTTCCCACACGCCACTCTACATGTGCCAACCGTGCCGCACCCCACCCCACCTCACCCCACCCCGCCTACGAACCCCACGGCAGGCTGCGTGACCTTTGTGCGCGATGGCCTCACCCCCCTGGACGCGGTCGCTGACGCTGTTGGTCCCAACGGCCTCGCGTGGGAGGCGAGAGGCGCAGACAGAGCGCCCTGGGAGCGGGGTGGAGGGCTTGCTGTTGACACGACTGACGACCAGGCTCCTGATGCGGAGGCTGGCGCGGAGAGGGACGGCGGGGGGAGAGGAGAAGGAGTGGTGGAGAAGGGGGACGGGGAGGAGGGGGATGAAGGGGAAGGGGAAGGGGAAGGGTCGGTGTGGAGGGAGGGGCGGTGTGTGAGGACGGACCACGGGCGGTTTGTGCTGCTGAACGTGTACGTGCCGAATGCAGGCGAGCACAAGCACGGGCGCCCGCGGCTGCAGCGCAAGATGGCGTTCCTGCGAGCCCTGCGCGCAGAATGTGAGGTGGGCTGGTGACAGGAGGAGGGATTGGGGTAGGGAAGGAGGGTAACGCAGCGGTGAGGGTTGGGATTGGGTGCGATGTGTGCGAGTGAGTGGGGATGTGTGCGTGAGAGTGGGTTGGAGGGTGTGGCGGTCCTCTGAGAGGCTGTGAGGGAGCAAGAGGCTTGAATTATGAGGGTTGGCATGCCCGTGTTCGGCTCAACTCGTCTCTCTCCCCACCCCATCCGCCTCTCTCCCTGCCAACCCCCATGCCAGGCGATGCGGTAAGGGCGAGTGGGCGGCACGTGGTGGTGGTGGGCGATGTGAACATCTCCCACCGGGACATAGACGTGTTCCACCAGTGGCGCGTCTCCCACATCTACTGCCCTGGTGCGTGCGTCACGTCACCCCACAATCAGCTGCAGCATAACGTGTACATCTTGCTGCCCTGCAACCTCAAACCTGCCCTGCAAGCAACCCCACACCTTCTCCCACCTTTCCCCCCAACTCCCCCTCTCAGCGGAGCTGCAGTGGCTGGATGCGCTGTTTGGAAGCCCCGGTGCGCCCTATGTGGACCTCTTCCGCCACTTCCACCCCACCGCCGCCGGCGCCTTCACCGTGTGGGACCAGCGCACCGACGCCCGCAGCCGCAACGAGGGCCAGCGGTGCGTGCCGTGTTTCAGTCGACTGAATGGTCGCCTCCCTGTTTGCTTTGGCCTTCCATTCCCTTCCCTTCCCTTACCTTCCCTTCCCTTCCCATCCCATCCCATTCCAAACCACACATCCCCGTTCTCCTTCTCTTCCCACCCCATTCCACACATTTCATCCCCCGCCCTGGCCCCGGCCTTCCCCACAGCATCGACTACGCAGTGTGCGACGCCGCCTTCCTCCCGCACGTGCTCGCATGTGACATCGTGCGAGTATCCCCCAAGCAGTGGAGCGACCACGCTGCTGTCGCCCTCACCCTCTCTCATGATACTTCCCTGCCGCTCCTGCCCCCTCACCCCCGCCCGGCACTGTCCGCGCACAACATGCGAAAGTTCCAGGAAGATGTGACGCAGAGGAAGCTGACTGCGATGTTTGGTGCACGGAAGGGGAGAGGGCGGGGAAAGGGGGGACGGGGGGAAGAGAGGGGAGAGGGGGGGGGGCAGGCGGAGAGGAGGGGGAAGGAAGGGGATGAAAAGCAGGAGAAAGGACTGGAGGAGACGGAGGGAGGTGGGGATTCAGAGGACGGAAGAGGGAGGGGAAATAGGGAAGGTAGGGATGGGAAAGGTGGGGAGAGGGAAACAGGGGATGGAGAAGGTGTGGAGAGGAGGGATGGAAAGGATGGGGGGAAGGTGTTGAAGAGTATAGAGAGTATTGATAGGAAGGAAGGTGATTTAGGGACGGGCAGTGGTGACACATGCACGTGGGTCGGTGATGGGCGTGAAGAGACGCGTGTATCTGGTGAGGGTAATCTGGGTGAAAGGGAGGGGGATGGCAATGAGAGGGGAGGCAGGGAGGTGCATAGAGAAGCATCAACTGGAGTGTCAAGGGTGGCAGTTGCAGATGAAGCTGTGTGTATGGGTGCTGTGAGCACAGGCTGCACAGCACACGTGAGCGGGGGGGTACAAGGAGAAGATGCGTTTCGAAGGAGTGGTGTGCAGGTTGGCAGTGAGAAGGAGGCAGCGGATTCTGACACGGAGAGAACAGAGGGTGGCGGGGGTGGTGAGGGAGGCGAGGGCATTGGGAGAGTGGAGAGGAGATGTGGAAGCATGGAAGAAGGTGCTGCTGGCCGTGCTAATGCTGACGTTGATGCTGGCGGTGCTGGTGACGGTGATGTTGACGGTAGGGAGGGGAGAGGTGGTACGATGAGGCATGCAGGGCACAATGAGAGTCGACGAGAGAGGGGAAGTGGTGGTGGAGGCGACGGGCGCGATACAGAGGTCCCAGCGGGGAGAGATGACAACGACGATGGTACTTCTAGTGCTCGAGATGCGGTTGGTTTGCAGACCACTGGATCAACTGGGCTCGCAGCAGTGGCAGCTGCAGCAACATCGGCAGCAACAACTGCGGCTGCCGCACAAGAGCGTGGGAAAAGAAGGTCAAGTGGTGTGGGTGTGGCTGCACGCCGGAGCGGTGCAGCTAAGAGGGGGAGGCGAGGGGGTAGGGGTGGTTCTGCGGCTAAGAGAGTTGGCACTGGTGGCGCTGCTGCTGCTGGCAAAAGTGGCTCACAACGTTTGATCACTCAGTTTGTCAAAAAGAACTGAGAATGCTACACTTACCGGTACCGCCACTTTCCCCTGTGCGTTCCGTGTTTGTTCGTTCATTCGTTCTGCACGAGCTTTGAAAGTACCACTTCTGTTTGTGTGTGCATGCGTTGGTCTGTCAAAAGAGCACGTTGTGGAATACTGTACCGGACAGGGTTCGCTTAGCTTCCCACGCCCACACTTCAGCACAACTCGAAAAGCATAGATCACAAAGAAAATAATCCTGCGTTTCAACAGGGCAACGGAAGCTTCGATTCGAGGCGTCTCAAAAAACATGGCAACCTGTTGTCTCGCTTATTCTGACCGAATCGGAGGTGCATGTGGGCGGCAACGCCGTATCGGTGACTACAAAGGAGCTTGTGAACTAGGGTCAACTATGTACAGGCAGGTTGGACTATGTACAGGGCTATATATGTACATGTCACATGGCCATGCACGCGCATGCTTTGTGCATACACACACGCATACCCATGGCCCAGTGTACTATTTTGTCTTGACACATTCCCCTTCCTCATGTGTCATCAGGATTCAGCAGGCACGGCAGGCACAGCAGCTGGTATGCCCTGACTGCGCAGCAAGCAACACTACAGGGGAGCTTCCAAGTTCCAACCAATTTCTAGCACTCCAGAGGGTCTTCAGCAGGCATTGTCAGTAAGCCCCCCATAAACGCATGGACATGGGGTGCTCTGGCACAAAGGCAGCACCACTGCAGGGGATGGTTTGGTGGTGCCCTGGTGCTGATCCGCTGCTGCTGTAGTCGTATGGTGCTCTGCTGCTGCAGCTGCTGCTGCCCCACATGCTGCTCGTGAGTCGGGCTGAATGCCTGGAATAGGATGGGGTAAGACGTGGAACCATGGAGGGGGAATGAAACGGTGATGAGGTTGGTTGGAATGGTAGTGCGGGTGATGACGGGGGTGATCGTCGTAACCTACTCTAGAGCGTGGGAGAGAATATCTGGGGAGCAGGGTAGCAAGATTCGGCCACCGCAAAGACACAAGATCTGCACATATAACGTCACCAATGCCGCACATATCACCGGCACATATGCACACATGCACAACCAGGAAACTTTTACAGATCACAGTGGCTATGGTGATGTGACGTCACCTGAGGGCCATGATGACCTCAGCAGCGTCCAGGGGTTCCCCTGCACGAGGTCGAATCCATCGTGCCATGGTGGCATGGAAGCATGGCTGCTGCCGCAAGGCTGACAGTACCAACTCCCTCTCCACTCGCTCCACTGCTGCTGCTGACGGCGATGATGCTGCTGATGATGGTGATGGTGAAGATAGTAACGAACCCCCAACAGGTATTCCAAACACCTCCACTCTTTCCAAGCACACAAACTGCTTCACCCCATCCTCTCCCACCTTCTCCCCTAGCTCCTCTTCTCCACCTCCCCCCTCCTCATCACCTCTTTGTAGCCTCCCCTCCTCCTCTCCCCCATCTCTTCCCCCACCCGCTTGCTGGTGGCAGGCAGTGAGGGGGTTCAGGCCTGTCAGGTGGATTCTCAGGTGGGAGCCGGCAACGAGGGCGGCAGGGGGCAGGGCGAGGGTGTGCGGTTGCAGCCAGTCCGAGGAGAGACGGATGGGTGGGGAGGTGTAGTGGAAGGAGGTGGCGGAAAAACCTACTTCCACCTGGTGTGAGGGGGGAGAGATGGGGGGGGGGGGGGGTGGTGAGAGAAGACATTAGGGGAGGGCGGCAGGAGAGTAGGAGGGTGTGAAGAGGGGTGAGGGGTGAGACCAGGCCGTGGATGATGTGCTTCCGGGAACAGCAGAGAATCCACATGGATGCAGACATCCACTGCAGATACGAGAATGGATGCCTGCAGTTGAATTGCCAGCAGTTGAATTGCCTGCACTGGCTGGTCCACATGCTGCATGCTGCGTGCTCCATCCCCCATCCCCCATCCCCCATCCCCCACCCCCCATCCCCATGGCCCACACCCCATGCAACGCACCCACGCGCCTGACCTGCAAGTGGGCGGCGCGAGAGGAGCCATAGAGCGGGGCGGGTGTGACCACCACACCCGCCACAGCGCACAGAGGGTGTGCCAGAGCCACGCCCAAGAACTCCCCTCTTCCACCACACGCCTTGCCATGCCGCTTGCTCTCTGCTGCTCGCCTGGCTCTGGTCCGTGGCTGTCGGGTGGGGTGGGTTGGGTGGGATGGGAGAGAGGACTGGGCGATGAAGGAGCATGCTCTACGGTGTGCGTGTGTACACTTAACTCCCTTTGTTCCTCTTGACTTTTTATTGGGTTCTACTTCTAATTCACAACCAAACCACAACGCTGCCTTTTGTTGCACCTACCCACCCTCCATAAACCCATCTCACCCTATCCCTCCCCCCTCCCCTCTCTTCTAACTCTCCCCTCTTCCCCGCCACACCTCCTTCATTCATACACTTTCTCCCCATCCCCGTTCCTTACCTCACTGCACCAGATGCCGCCATCTCCTCCGCACCCAATACCCTGCACGCGCCACTCGCCCCACTCGCTCGAGCAATCCACCCCCCGTGCCACTAGCCGCTCTACCCGCCCCCCCCACTGTGCCCTTGCCAGCGCTAGCGCACCAAACAGCCCCTTCCACCGCGCTGCTTCTCCCCCTTTCCCCCCTCTCCCCCCTCCCTCCCCTGTCACCACCCCCCTGCCCCCGTCCCCTCGGTCTTCACCTCCCCCATTCTCTCCGCTTGCAGCAATGGGCGGGTGGCAGCGGAAGGTGTTCTCGCAACGCTGCTGCCACAGAGAGTCCGAGGCTGGGGTATTCATGGGAAAGGGGAGAGAGTGGGGGGGAAGGATGCAGGGATGCGAGTGGAGGATTGAGGATATGAACTTGGATTGCGCATTGTGGTGTCCTGTGTGTGTGTGTGTGCGTGTGCGTGTGTGTGTGTGTGTGTGTGTGTGTGTGTGTGTGTGTGTGTGTGTGTGTGTGCGTGTGTGTGTGTGCGTGTGCACTGCACTGTGTATCCGTCCATTCCTGCTAGCGTCACAGAAGGAGCATGCAGGCACCACACTCACAGGCCATGCGGTGCCAGCAGCGGCAGACAGCCGCCATGGAGCAGAGGTCGGACGCGGTGAGGTGCGGTGCAATGCTGCCCTCCACCACCTCTGTCGGTACTCGGCAGAGGGCGTGGAAGGGAGCATTCGATTCCGTATCGCGCCCGTGCTCGCTCCGTCTCCCCCACTCCTGCTCCGAGCACGCATGCCCACGTTGACTTTCCGGTGGCAACACAATGGGGCGGCAGTGCACATGGCCAGGAACCACGTGGCCAGGACCCACGTGGCCAGGACCCATCATCTCTTACGTCGCCCGGACTCTCGACCCTGTACCCAGTAACGCGGATCGAGTAACGCGTGGATCGCCGGCTACCAGTACCCAAGGAAATGAGACAGGCAGCAGCACGGTCGCCACTGGGGGGCTGCCTTGTCGCTACCGTTACGTCTGGCACCTGGATGAGTGCGCTGTGATTTCATGAGAATCCAAGAATTCTCAAGGCATCTCTATAATCAGTGCAAGTTCGCACTCCGGACACATCCATCAGCTGGGATCACGGCGAGTAGCCGATTCTGGTTGCTGTGCCATGCCGGTGCCTTTAACGCCTGGCGCGATGCCGGATTGTAACGTAAGAGTCCTTGTGTGGTGACTGCAAAGCTTGTTCATGACGTCTATGTGAGCAGGGTTTTTAAAAAGGAATGGGTTTGATGCTTCCTGAGCGTCGCGGTGGCGTCGATTGAGCGTGGGGGCCTCGATTGAAGTGATTGGGGTACAGGACATGGCATAGGAAACAACGGCAGGTTGCGGATTTGGGAACGAGAAGGGTGGCGGGATCTGGCTAGTAGGGGTGGGTGGTGATGGCCGACCGAGGAGGATACTGGGAGTATGACGAATGGGTTTGGAGATCTCAAGGCGACACTGGTTTCGGGGAGAGTGAAAAGGCGAGCGAGCGAGGTGCCTGAGCGACCGGTGCGACGAAACGCGGGACCATGCGATGGGTTCGATGCGAGTAGTCGCTGAGGCAGCTCGCCGCTGCATGTGAACATGGATTGCTCTGGGGTATATATAACAAGGGGGTAGTTGGGGGCAGGCGAGGGGAGCATTTCCGGGCGGGAAACAGCGCGGTTGGGACGGTAGCACCACCGAGTTCGGCCGCCCGACGGTAGCGTGGTCCCGGCCAGGCCTGTCGAAGTCCCTGAGCTGCTCGAATTCTGGCCCTGATTTTCACGGGCGCAGTCCAAATTAAAAACTTGAAATCAGGGCTTCTTAGGAAAGTGTGCTTGTTTCTGATGTAACACAGGAGGATGTTATCTCTTAGCAGGAAAAAGGTACATACTAACTACTCATCCACACACCTACAGCCTCTACATCGCAGGCAAAAGCACCATAGGAAAAATCATCAGGGAGTGGGGGTATGGGGGGGAGGCGGGGGGAATTTGGGGGGGGTGTGTACTTCGAAACAGAAACCGAAGCTTTGATTCAGGGGAAGGCCCAAACGAGGCCCGTAACGGTCACGGGTGCCATGCGGATCTAGCAATTTAAATGGTCGAGCTGCTCGAAACATAGGCCGGAATGTTCAGGGCATTGAGGGCAAATGCCCTTGCTTCTATAGCCCTGGTCCCGGCGCTACCGAGTGGAACAAACCCTATAAAACGTATCAGTAACCAGACGCTCGGCGACCGATTATTGGAGCGTTTTCCCCCCGATTTCTCACGCGGAAAACATCGGGGAAGGCTCTCGCGTGCACGTGTCCGTGTTTCGCCGGCTCATCAATTCGTGCCCTGATTCGTGACAGTTGATGATTTGCGTTCACGAGAAAAAAACGATATGGCTGCACGTGGCATCGCCAGAACGCAAAACTCCCCACCGTGGGCAGACGCGTGGCCACTGATTACTCGACCGCGAAGCAGTCACGAAGCAGTGTGACGCTCGTCACTTCGACTCCCTGCGACCGTGAATCTCGTTTCGGGTATGGTAACAAAAAACCGTGACCACGGTGAACCCAAGGATCAAAACTCGGGGAACCCATGGACGTTGCGTGGCGCAAGGGGTCACCCACGGAACGCAAGGGCTCGTGGTAGACAACGGAGCCAGCTCTCCGTTCCCATCTCACTTTTCGCTGTTCGTGCCCAGTTGTCTCGCGTTAGAGCACCGCCTTCGGCCTTCTCCCTAGAAATCCGGAGACCTGACACATCCGTAATCCTTGCTCCACCGTTTTGATGGTCTGATTTTGCGTGGAACCACTATCCACGCAACCATGCACCCTCCAACGGAGAGTGCACGCGGTGCACGCGCTCCACGCGCACCAAACGCGCATCGCCCGCGACAGCCAAACGTATCCGCGGAAGCACATGCGGGCATCCACCCTATGTCAGAGGTCCACTGGAGATCCCCGATTGATCTTAGAGAAGGGTTACAGACTCGTTGTCCTGGGGGGTTATGGGCGCACTGACCCGCTACTTAACAAGCCCTTTTATCCCAGTGGTCTAGTGACTGGGATTCAGACATGGTATCAGAGCGAAGGTCTCGGGTTCGAATCTCAGTGTGTGCACTTCGGGCATCCCAGTGCGGGGGGGTGTCAGAGGTCCACTGGAGATCCCCGATTGATCTTAGAGAAGGGTTACAGGCTCGTTGTCCTGGGGGGTTATGGGCGCACTGACTCGCTACTTAACAAGCCCTTTTATCCCAGTGGTCTAGTGACTGGGATTCTGACACCCTATGCACCCGAAATCTGGAATTCATGGAAACCCCCCCGCAGGAACTCCAGGGAACCAACCCGCAGGAAGTCTTGGGAACCCATCCGCGAGAAGTCCTATGAACCAACCCGCGGGAATTCCACGAAACCCAGCCACGGGTATTCCTGGGAACCCACCCGTCAGTGTTCTTGGTAACCCACCCGCGGGTACTCCTGGGAACCCACCCGCGGGAATTGTTAGAAACCCACCCGCGGGTGCTCCTGGGAACCCACCCGCGGGTATTCCTGGGAACCCACCCGCGGGTGTTCCAGTGAACCCACCAGCGGGTACTCCTAGGAACCCACCCGCGGGAATTACTGGGAACCGACCAGCAGGATTGCCTGAGTTCGTACCGCCCGCTGCGGATCTGGACAGTGCAGCAATTGCAGCAGTTGGTCATGCTGCATTACGTGGCAGTTGCCAATTTCGACTTCCGCCAGCTTTCGCGTGGGGTTCATTTTTGCCCGCAAATGCGTTTCAACCAAGGTTCTTTGGAGCTCCTCCAAACCTCCACCCTGCCACCCTCGGAATTCCTATGCATTATCGAGCACCGATGCCCTTTTCCCCTCGCTTTGTTTCAACGCACGCGCGCCCGCGAGCGCCAAGCATGTTCGCAACCATCAATCCTACTGGAGCACTGCAGGGCACAGAAGCCTAAGGGCCGAATCCTACTGGAGCACTGCAGGGCACAGAAGCCCAAGTGTCGAATCCTACTGGAGCACCGCGGGGCACAGAAGCCCAAGTGCCGAATCCTACTGGAGGACCGCAGGGCACAGAATCCCAAGTGCCGGGACAATCGGTGAACGCGGGATTTGTGCCAACTACAATCACACCGCAACAACCCCGGGGGAGAAGGTGTGTCAACGCACGGCCAAATCGGGCTGAGCCGCGTGCAGGGGTTCCAACTGCGGAACCAAGTGCGAGAAGGCGTGTCAACGCGCGGCAAAATCGGGATGAGCCGCGTGAAGGGGTTCCAACTGCGGAACCAAGTGCGAAAAGGCGTGTCAACGCGCGGCAAAATCGGGGTGAGCCGCGAGCAGGTGTTCCAACAGTGGAACCAAGTGCGAACGTTCTGACAAAGCAACCACCAGAAACCTCGGACGTGTCTTAAGACGACGAACCGGAATCAGACAAGGAGCAAGCTGAAGTTGCTACATCAGGGGAGCCCGAGGCGGGTGAGGGTTATAGGCCGCGGGCATTTCGAAGACCAGACGACGATGTCTCGCCCGAGGACGAGGCGGAGGTTCGGGTAGAGGTGGCAGCGGACGAGCCAGCAGACGCGGGTCTCGAAGTTGAGGGGGGGCGACTTATCCCGGATTGGACCAAACTCTGTGCAGGGATGACACAGTAGGAGAAGATCGATTTTGTACGGGACGTTTTCGCATCCCTGTCGCCGGCAACTCGGGAGCAATATTATTATGTAATCCGAGAATTCAAGAGATGGTGGTACCACGAAATGAGAAGGTTGCGGCAAAACGGACAGCTTCCCACAGAGGCCTTTCTAAAGCATCATGACGAGGTGGGGCACGCATTAGAAATGGACAACAGGGAAGACTGGGAGAAAGTGCCGAGAGAAGACTGCTGGTTGCACAGTCCGCGCATCACAAGATGGCGGCTGAAGGTCTTCGTCATGTACTGCATAACCGAAACACAAGAGCAGGTGGACATGCTCGCAAGCCTAAACCTTGTCAGGCCTATCCGAAAGCGCATTAAGATGACCGTGCCGATGCTTTTGTCATGGCTTCGCGGACTAAACGCATTGTGCAGGGCGGAGGCTGCACTTTTCGATGACCCGGCCCTTGTGACGGAAGTGACACAGGTCCGGGTACTTCAACGTCTCATGTTGACGAAGCCGTTCGAGAGATTCGTCGAGTTAGTATTGTTGAAAACATTCCTTCATCCTCGCTTTACGTGCTTTTCGCCAAAACACTCACAAATTTTTGTTTTTCGTGCTCGGACCCAGGGAATGCATCGACCGTCACCGCGGAAGACAGTATGACACATATAATCTGGACGAGTTTCGCCACATGATGCAAGTGACATTACCCGCGGATGCTGCGAACAACTGGAAACCCTTCGACCCGGAGCCAACAGCGAAACTCTACAGAGCACTTCTCACTAAAGTAATGATGCTCACGTGCCATCACACCATGTCCCGCGCGGGTAGCATTCGCACGGCGCAGCTACCAGACCTGTCTTTCGAAGAAATGGGTGCAGTGTCGGCACTTGATCCTGTTCGCGAAGCTTTTTTTATGACCATCAACAGCCGAAGCGGAAAGACAAACCATAAATTTGGTCTCCAACGCCACGATTCGACGTGGCACAATGACTACAACCTCTGCCCCGTCGGAAACATGCTCCTTCTGCTGCACTGGCTCTACGACATGGCTCTCGACTTCTATCAGCTGCCGCCACCGGAACTGAACTTCGGAGACCCGAAACAATGGCATCGGGCCTACCTTTTCTGGTCGTTGAAAAGGGGCAACACGAAACGAGTTTCGGGTGCCACGTACCATCGGTGGGTGGTCCAAGCGTACAAAGAGGTGCTAATCGAGATTTCGTGCGTCACACATGGGCCGCGTGCAACTAATGCGAATATTCTACTCATGATGGGGATTCACGACGACGAAATTCAAAAGCACGACAACTGGAAAACGGACCCGATGACAGTCCACTATCTGATAGGCGTGGCAAGGAAGGCGGTGCTCGCAACAGCAGGGTTCACAGGGGACAACTGAGACTATCATATAGGGAGATCCAAGGTTCCACCCTCGAAAAACCTCCTCGAGACAATCAGACAGCACAATTTTCCGTGGATTGAAGATCAACTACAAAGGGTAAGAGGGTTTGAGTTCTATGACCCCTTCACGAATTTGCCGCGCCTACTTTGAATTGATTTTCCATCTCCTCGCGGTGTCGTTTCAGGCGCGGGACTACAACGATTCATGCAGCGAACGTGGGCGGCGTAACATGGGCGCCTTACATCTGCTCAGGCACTGCAGAAATGGGGTTGCCTTACTGTGGCGGAGGATTTGGCGATGATGTGGGTGCTCAATCGGAACCATCCATACGTGCTAGCATCGAAACTATGCGAGGACCGCGAGTTTCAACATTGGGCCCAGGTTGTCGCTTGGCGTGACGCGGCCGGACGCGCTCTGCGAGCAACAGCGACACCTTGTACCGAAGCTGTGAGCGTCTGATCCACGCGAGGACCGCGTTCTATAGAACCTCGTTGACACTCCTATATTTGCTTTGCGTTTTGTGCGCTCAGGAAACAAATGTCCGTGTCCACGCAGAACATCGCGCAAGACAGTTCCAGACCATGTACAATCGGGAAAAGTCCGACCACGCGAATGACCTCGCCAAGCTTAAAGCCGCGGAGGATGCCAACGCAGAGCTGCGTGCCCGGTGCGAGGCTCTTGAGACCGAGAACAGGTAGCTTCAACAAGATCTGAAGAAGCACCGGCCGCGGGGGGAAGGCGGCTCACAGATCAATGTGACGCCCGCGGAAGCAGATCCACCGACCTCGGCAGAGGAAAAAGAGAACGACAAAAAGGGGAAAGAGGGCGCTTCCCCTCCAATTTCCGCGGACGACGAGGCATTCAAGAATGAAATTATCATGCCTTGGCGCCTAACAAAGAACATCGTGTCTGCTTGGAGCTTGTGGAACACCCCACATGGGTCCGCGGGGAGAACACTGCGGCAGGAGTACACCGCCGATGGTGGATGGATCGCGCGATTTGCACGCGGGGAGGAGCCCAGCGAGGAAGCTGCAAAGCAGCGAATGTACCGTGTGAAAAGGGCGATGGACGCGGTGACGGAGTACGCGGCTAGAGGGACCAGCGGAAGGGAGGATGCGGTCGTCGAGAAACTCGCGGGCATGTCGTTCTCATCGCTGACGAGCGGTTTGACCGTGCAATCAGCACCCGTCTGCGAAAGCACGCTCGCGGATCTCATGAAGAGAGACCAAAAGAAGCTTCATCTGCGGGCTGCAATGTTGCTGGTGCAAAAAGGGCTCGAAGCACACGATTGGGCAGAGTGACTCTTCCCCAACGCATGGAAAGAGTTCGTGAAAGCCGAGGGTGAGAAAGCAGAGGCCGCGTCGAAAAAGCGCCCTAGAAAGGAGTAGTTTAGGGTGACGATCCAAGCTCACGAAACTTATTGTGCAGGCGTGTTTGTATGCATGAGACTTTTGTGAATTCAGGATGCGTATGTTCGCCTTTTCCCGTGCATGCAAGGTTTTTTGTGCAAACAGAATCCAAGGTTTTTTGTGCAAACAGAATCCAACAATTTGTACAAATCCTAACAAGCATTTCCCACAACGAAACCCTAATCACACGGAAAACAAAACAAAACGAAACACTATACACGTGTCCGAACGAACAAACATCACATACTAGGATAAGCTGCAACAAATCCACGGAAAACAAAACAGCACCAAAATTCGCATGGACCACTGACATCCCGCGGTATTCTCAGGCAAACTCCTCGCCGGCCTCTGATCCCTCCATCATTAACGTATCGTCATCCTCGTCTTTCCCATCACTGTGCTCCGCCTCCTCGCCCTTCTTCTCGTCCTTCTCGCCCGCGTCCCCATTTTTGCCCTTCCCACGCGTCCCTTTTTTTTTTTTTCGGGCATTCCATGTAAAGGCCCACACCTTTCGTGGTCGGGAACACGGATGAAGCATAGTTCCAGGTGACCACGACCTGGATCAGCTGATGCACGACAAACTTGTCGGTCATGTCGAGCTCGTCCCCAAACAACTTCAGCACCGTCTTCTCGATGTTCGCCGCGGCCTCCAACTTATCACCTTGGCGTTTCCGGATGACGGCGTACACGTCTCTCCAGCACACCTGCAAACCCTCCAAGACATCCGCGGTCGCGCCGCACAACTTTGCAGCGGCTGAGCCACTTTTGACCGCGGCAGCACGAACCTCCGTGGTGACTCCTTTCCAGGCCGATCTCGCACCACCTGCCGTGTTGCTGCGGGTATACTCCGCGGTCAAACTCCACATATCACCAAACCCGAACGCGACCGCAGCCGCGAAAAGCGTCTTCTGTGCTTTCCCTTTCACTTTCCCATCATCGTCCGCGACTTCTAGCCCAGCTGCAGCACGTAACGCGGACCGGACAGTGTGGTCCGAATCCACTTCCACAATTTCGCGACATTTTTTGAAAATGTTGACCATCCTGCGGCACATACAAAAAGCTCGGGAGTTAGCCCCAAACGGATGAACGAGAATTCAACTACCCTGCACGCGCTAGCGCGTCGTACCTCATATAGTTCCCTGCTAGTTTCCACAAGAAAAGAGTTGAATATAGGCCCGCGTTCATCTTCCGCGCCAGCTCGAGATCATCCGCCCACTTGGCTTCCTCCTGATCCGTGAGCACCAACTCAGCTCTCTGAACGCGGTCGTGCCACACGGTCTGTGCCACGGCGGACAAGTAGCGGGCAGGCACAGCACGCGCAAACGAGCCGAGATAGAAGCGAGCCCCACCGTGATGAAGCTCAACCGAGAACGGGTTTTTGTTCCCCAGAGTAAAGCGGACTCCGACCATCGGCCTCTATGTGGCCGCAACATTCTTATGTCCCCCCTCCTCAGCCCCCGTCCCGATGCACAGCTGCTCCATTGGGTCCTTGGCCTTTGCACCCCCACAACCAGCACCTTTCGCCGCCGCCCGGGCCGCAAGAAACCTTTTCCGCGATTCCATCGCCTCCGCATCCTCGTCGTCTGAAATTTCTACCGCGCCCTCGTTCTTGCCCTCTGCAATGGCCAGCCTCGCAACCGCAACTCCACTGTCCTTCACAGCGGCAACCGCGGTAGGGGATTCTTTTCCCGCAGCCTTCGCTCTCTTCGCGGGGATTGTAACCGCGCCTTCGGCACCTTGCGGTACAGTACGCTTCTCCTGACGAACAGAGTCACCACCTCCTGATAGGATCAGCGGGAGGCTCGTGTCAGCCGCTGGACCAGCTCCGAGTGTGGGAATCCGACCCGCGGGCTGCTCGAGGCCGGCAGTAGGCCCAAAGTTACCCGCGAAGGACCCCATCACGGTCCTCAGTATCATAGCCCCCGCGCCCGCACCAAGCTCCACCGCGTTCGCAACAGAGTTTTCGAAGCTGACGAGCTTCTGCCAAACCTCCGCGCGGGTCCGCTCCGCGGCACTGCTGATCGCGGAAAATATCATGGACTTCAACTGTGAGAATCAACAGGAATGAATGAACTAGGAAAGTGTGAGATACAAATATGAAACCTGTACCCCTTAGTGTCTACCCCACTACAGCCTATATAGGCTAAGGCATATATATCTGACACACCCCCATAGGCAAAGTGGGGGAGAACTAGGGGTCACAAGACCAGTCAAGCAAAGCAAAGCAAAGCAAGCTCAGGGTGGATCACAACGTCACCACACATTCCGAGCACCGGTTCAAAGGCCACAAGGCCAGTTCACATGCAAGCTCATATATAAAGGTAAACAAGCAAGTGCAGGTATATATAGATCACAGTACAAGGAAAGTCAAGAGGTAAGCAAGTGAGGCCAAGTAGGCACAAGACCTAGCATAGTACAGAAGCGCTGATGATCACAAGGCTGAAGCGCCTTGGTGAAGATATCAGCAGTGTTGGCCTGAGAGGCCACGTAAGCAAGGCGCAGCTGACCACGCTGCTGCAGCTCACGAGCAAGGAAGTAGCGAAGAGCAATGTGCTTCGTTCTGTGCTCCAGTCTGTGCTCCCGACACAAGGCCAGCATGGCCTTGTTGTCTACGTACAGAACTGGAGGAGAACGAGGCGGCTCTCCCAGGTCAGTCAGCAGGTAGGTGAGCCAGCGTAACTCCTGTGCAGCCATGGCCCCTGCGTAGATCTCAGCCTCACAGCTGGAGCCGAGAACAGAAGACGAGCGAGTAGACCGCCACGAAACAGAGCCGAAACCAAGGCTGAAGGTGTAACCCTGTGACGACCGCTGCGTAGCCAGGTCGTCAACCCAAGACGCGTCTGCGTGACCAGTGAGGACCACTGGACTCCGCCCTCCAAGCACTAGCCCCAAGCCCGAAGTATTGCACAAGTAGCGCAACACCCTCTTCGCTGCAGCCATGTGCTCTGGTCGGTGTCTCCCAGGAGCAACATAGCGTGCCAAGATGCTCAGAGGGTATGCTAGGTCAGGTCGAGTGCAGGTCATCAGGTACATGAGGCAGCCAACAAGCTCTGGGTACGGGCCACTCGGCTCTACGGACTCATCCGAAGGCAGAGCTGAGAGCGAGTGGCGAGTAGACAGAGGAGTGGCCTGAGGCGAGGAGTACGTGAAGTCGAAGCGCTGAAGGACCTGCTGCACCATGTGTGACTGAGTCAGGGTAATGGTGCGCCGTGCTCTGTCCCGGGAGATCTGCAAGCCAAGATAGCTGTGCAGTTCACCCAGGTCTGTGCACGTGTGTCTCTTCTGCAGCTCGGACTTCACGTGGGCGAGTCCAGCAGTGTCAGCTGTAGCAAACACCAAGTCGTCGACGTACACGAGGATGTAGAACGGCGGCAGCAAAGTGTCGGTGCGAAGAAACAGCGACGGGTCAGAAGTGGAAGGAGCAAACCCAAGAGCCGCAAGCGTAGTCCTCACTGTGTCGTGCCACTCACGTGGCGCCTGGCGGAGACCGTAGACTGGCCGCCGGAGGCTCCACTGGGTACCAGGAGGAAACGACCCAGTGAAGCCAGGTGGGCGGCGCAGCCAGATCTCCTCGTGCAGACTGCCCTGTAGGAAAGCAGTGCTGAAGTCAAGGGAGTGAAGCTCGTAGTCACGCTGAGCAGCAACGTGCAGCAGAACCCGAAGAGTGGTCATCTTCGGGGTCGGGGAGAAGGTCTGAAAGTAGTCAACTCCCTGCCGCTGACTGAAGCCTCGAGCCATGTAACGCGCCTTGAAGACAGGCGGAGAACCCGGCGGCCGCTTCACCCTGAAAATCCACATGCCACTGACGATGTTCGCCCCAGGTGGGGGAACCTCGTCGACGTAGGTGCCTGTGGACTTCCAGGAAGCCATCTCTGCATCCATGGCTGCCTGCCACTGAGAGGAGTAAGGACCCTCTATCGCCTCTGCGTAAGAGCGCGGGGTCGGGATGTCTGGTGCATCTGGGTCTCCCTCAGGGGCAAGCAGCGTGGACACGAGATGAGGTAAAGCAGCAGCAAAACACTGGAACTCCTCCTGTCGGTCCTCAAGGACGTCCGTGCTAAGAGCACACTCACCCCCGACGGACGGAGGACAGACAGACGCAGACTCAGCAACAAGACTAGCGGCGTAGTCTAGACGACAGTGAGCAGCGAAGTCGACAAGCTCGGTAACTAAGGCAGACGCAGCAGTGGACTCAAAGGAAGGGTCAGTGACAACAGTGGTGAGGAAACGCGTGACAGTAGGACTGGCAGCACGAAGGGAGTCAGACGCCGGGTCAGCAAGAGCAGGAAGAGAGGACTCTGGAGGAGACGGCAAAGGGACACGCTGTGGCGCAGTGGAAGGGCGCAGTGCCATCTGATGCGTGCCCGAGACTGCAGGAGGACGCGGACGTGGAACACGACGACTGGTGCGAGCAGTGCGAACAGGCGACGCAGGACGCGACTCAGGGTCACGACGCTCAGCAAGACCTCCAGTAGGACCAGCGTAGGGAGAAGGAGCAGGCAGAGGGGAGACCAGCTGTAACTGTGACTCGGACTGGACAGGCGGAGGACACTCTAAGGAAGGAGCAGGACTAGAAGAAGGCGGAAGACCAAGAACCTGCTCAAGGAGCGGAACGAAGTACGGCCGCGGCCGCGCAGCACCTCCAGAACCAGCAGGGACAACACGAGTACCCCCAGCGTCAGCTCCAACTCCAGCAGCACTACCAGCTCCAGTACCTCCAGCAGCTCCAGCTCCAGCAGGACCACCGGCAGACACAGCCGCTCCGGCTCCAGTACCTCCAGTAGCACCCACTCCAGCAGCACCACCAGCTCCAGCTCCACCAGTAGCTTTAGCACCAGGAGTACCACCAGGCCCAGCAGCTCCAGTACCTCCAGTACGAGCACCTCCGGGACCCGTGGCTCCAGCACCCCCAGCAGAAGCAGAACCTCCAGTACCGGCTCCAGCAGCACCTCCAGCTCCAGTACCTCCAGCAGCAGCAGAACCTCCAGCACCGGCAGCACCTCTAGCTCCAGCAGCACGGCTCCAGCGCCGAGCAAACCACTCGCGCAGCTCCTGTGGAGAGGGAAGCTCCCGCCAGGACAAAGCACCCGAAGGACCGCCAGGTCCAGCACCGGCAGGCTCCACACCCCCACTCCCAGCAACCCCAGGCTCAGCACCCCCAAAAGCAGCACCCCCTGGCTCCGCACGCTCAGGCTCAGCACCCCCAGACCCAGCACCCCCAGGCTCTGCACGCTCAGGCTCAGCACCCCCAGACGCACCAGAGTCAGCAGCTACCTCGACAGGCTCGACTGCATCTACCTGGGACACACCTGAGGGGGCAGGACCCTGAGGGGGGAGGGGGTCTACCGGGGGGGGACCGGGAGCGAGGAAGAGCGGTGGGGGGGGGAGGGGGGCAGTGCGGTAGGGGAAGAGACGGTAGTACGGAACCGACTCGTCAAACGTGACGTCCTGGGAGGACAGAACACGACGCGAGGTGGGGTGGTAAAACTGCCAACCAGGCGCGTCAGGGGGAAAGCCGAGGAAGACGCAAGGAACAGCACGGGAGGACAGCTTGTCCGCAGACAAGTCTCGGACGAAAGCTCGAGATCCCCAGACACGGAACGCAGACGCATCACCAACCTTCCCCGTCCACCGCAGAGTAGGGGAGGTCTCCGGCAAGGAGACCCGGGGCTGAAGGTTGATCTGATGCGCCGCGTACTGAACTGCGAACGGCCACAGAAAATGGGGAGCAGCCGCATGGATCATGGACGTACGAGCGACATCCATGACCATGCCAATGCGGCCCTCAGCAATCCCATTTTGTTGTGGAGAGGCCGGAAGCGTGAACGTCTGGCGGATGCCCTCCGCACGTCAGAAGGCTCGCAGAAGGTCGGAGGAAAACTCTCCGCCTCTGTCGGAGTGCAGACGCAGAACAGGAAAGTTCGAGTCGAAACGCTCTCTGAGCTGGAGACGAGCAACGCGGATCCAGTCGATCAACACCTCAGTGACCTCACCCTTGCTGCGCAAGGGGAAGACAGTGGTGTAACGCGAGTAGTCGTCAACCACCTGCAGGAAGTAACGCTCGTGACCCTGTCCACGGACGCGGGCTGGGCCCCACACGTCCATGTGAAGAGTCTGCAGCGGAGCCTCTGTCGGGGGAAACTCGGAGGAGTGAGGAGCGGCGCGCTGCCGCCCCTCGACGCAGGGAACGCAGGTAGGGGCAGGCCCCGGGGGGAGGGGAGGGAGGGACCGGGGGAGACCAGAGACAAGGACACGGGAGGCCATGCCTCGGAGAAGAGGCAAGGAGGGGTGACCAAGGCGGTGGTGCCGAGGAGGGTCTGGTGGGACAGGAGGCGACACGAGCAGGGGGCAGACTCAGGACCTGACCGAGACGCTGCAGCAAACACCTGACTCGACGCAGCTACTTGACCAGACGCAGCAACCGGGGGAGACTCTGTTGTCAGTGTGTACAGGCTCGACCCCGGTCGACGGGTAAACGTGGCCAAGTGGCGGCCCGTCTGAGCACACGAGCAGTGGGTCACTCGCTGACTCGCAGGAGTGAACTGGTCAACCCCAGCATCCTGAAGGTCAGCACCACTCACCAAGTTCGTGGAGAACGAGGGGAGGTAGAGACCAGACAGGGAGCCGGACGGGGCCGCCGGACACGGGAGGACAGTGGAGTAGCGAGCAAGAACAGGAACCCCAGAGGGGTCTGCAAGGGAGACCGCAACCGGCCGACTGAGCGGCGTAAGGGTGGTGCGGTCCCGAAAGAAGGAGCGGGAAGCACCCGAGTCGAGGGTGAAGGTGTGCAAGACCTGCGCCGATGCGGTACCTGAGAGAGCAGACTCACCAGCACCTAGAGCAGCAGACTCACGAGTACCTGGAGCAGCAGACTCACGAGCACCTAGAGCAGCAGCCTCAATACCAGGGTCAGGCGGAACACACACGTAACAGTCACCCTCAGCACTAATAGACACAGCATACATAGCAGCAAGAATAGCATCAAAGTCAAGATCAAAGATAGCTACACCCGACCTGAGCAGATCACCCCAACGAGG